GAGTTGCAGGGACAGTGAGAAGCCTAGTTTGGCTGAAGCAGAATATCCAAAATCAGTATACACTTATTGAGCCATTTATACCGCTGTGGACAGTGATAACAGGCATTCTCACACGGAGTCTTTGAGGTTGGTACTATTATTATCCCCATTAATAATTAAGGAACTAGATTAATAATTTGATAAAGAAACTAAGGCTTACAGAAGTTAACTAATGGGCCCAAGATCACAGCCAGCCAATAAAGCTGGGCTCTAAATCTAGGTTCCTTTGCCCCCAGAGCCCACGCTGTTAAAGTTGACACCGTATCAAACCCCCATACAGGGTAGGAAAAAGAAACACATCCACAAAGGTACGTAAGGGCAAAACGGTCAATGTTTTCAAATATAGGTATAAAAAGAATATGATTTTATCTGTAGGTTATGATTCTTTGTGCTTAAAAGGATAGCTGTCCCATGAGCTTGTCCAAAGTGTTCCACACTTAGAAGCAAACTATTGTGGCCTTTTTTTTAATCACAGGAGAAAAAAAAATTATGAGCTTGATTTTTTCAATTTCAAGTTTCTCCCAGAAATACTTCTTAAATCTCTGAAAAAACAGTATATTGTAAAAATCAGTAAGTGGCAGACCAAGCTGGGGAAAACTCAGCTGATTATACTTAGCTCAACTTCTTTGTTTTGTTTTGTTTTTTGTCTGTTTGTTTTGTTTTGTTTTATTTTGTTTTTTGTGGTACGCGGGCCTCTCACTGTTGCGGCCTCTCCCGTTGCGGAGCACAGGCTCCGGACGCGCAGGCTCAGCGGCCATGGCTCACGGGCCCAGCCGCTCCTCGGCATGTGGGATCTTCCCGGACCGGGGCACGAACCCGTGTCCCCTGCATCGGCAGGCAGACTCTCAACCACTGCGCCACCAGGGAAATCCTCAACTTTTTTTTTTAATGGATTATGTGCTTAACAGATGTCATTTCATTATTTTAAGTTCAAATGATTAATTGAATATATTTATTCAGTAACAGTTAACTCAATTACCTGGAAATGGTTTTTAGATTAAGGTATTCTTCAAAAGAATAATAATGCTTCTGTGAGAGCTATCATAAGCACTAAAAGAAATCAGACACATCTACATATAAGCAGTATCTATTGGCTGAAACTATAGAAACAAAAAGATAATATATTGTATGATGACTTACTGCCACTTGGGAGCACTCCCCCCCATGAGACTAAGCCTAAGGCAGCTGTTCAGTGAACAAATCAGGCAAGCCATGCATGCAACCCATATACATAATTTTAAATCTTCTAGCAGCCACATTTGTTAAAAGTAGAAACAGGCAAAATTAATTGCAGTAATGGATTTTATTTAACATGGGATATGCGACATATCATTTCAACATGTAATCAATATTTTACATATTGAAATATTTCATTTTTTTCATACCAAATCTCAAAATCTGGCATGCATTTCACACTCACAGCATTAGCCATTTTTCAAGTGCTTCACTGCCATATGTGGCTACTGGTAACCATACCGGACAGCACAGATCTGAGGGACAGCAGGAAACAGGCCAGACCATGAGAGCCAGACCGTGAGAGTGAAGGATGTCGGTAAAAAAAGCGAGCATTTAGCTCCAATGTTCTGATGCTGAAATAAATGAGTTCAACTAAGAAATGGATAACAAACAATAATAGACTATTTTCCCAATAGCAATCTGTATGTCTGGAGTTCTTAAAGCGTTGCACATTACTGATTTTATAATTTTATAATCAGTGTCACAGTAGGGCTGCAAGGAAATAAACTGGAAAGGAACCAGGTCCACATAAGTCCTGAACTAGGCTTATAACTTTGAGAATAAAAAAAGGAAGGAGGCCAGACACCCTTTAGCAGTAATTCATGTAAACAGCATAAGGCCAGAGAGGGAGAGGAAGGCTTCAACAGAGAATGACCAATATAATAAAGTCAGAAAAAGCTCCCCCCTCACCTTCCTGCCCCTACCCAGTACCCCTGGAGAATCCAGTGGGACCATTCTGCAAAGATTTGGTTATAGTAAAACACTTTTACTTAACTCGCCGGCCCCTTCTAGACACGAGACCAAATGCTCATTTGCTCATCTATTAAAGCACCTATGATAAAGTTAAACAATACATTTATTGTTTAACCAATAAATTCTGCTTGTGAAAACCACACAAAAGGCTGGGCAGGGTGTGTCTACACTCTCTGGGACAGAGGTGGGTGGGGGAAGACTGTGTATTTTAGTGGCAATAGGTCAAAGTACATCAGCATTCTATTTTAAAACAAACTCTGGCTAAACAATTCCAACATTGCAATGACAGGGTGTTTAACAGTTTATCATTTGCACCAAACGAAATTATGCAGTTACCATGTGTTCACCAGTGCTTAAAATTATTAAGGAAACCAAAATTACAGTTCAGTATTTCTCAACTCTTGGAACAGTTCTGCTTGTTACTCAGAAACCTATCCCATTAGGTTACCTATGATAAATTTAAACAGTAATCAATAAATTCTGCTTGTGAAAAACAGAATGAATCAAATTTCATAATTCCTTTAGTTCAGAGGATTTCATCATGCCCCCTTCAAGTAAAGGGGAAAACTACTGAAAATGGAAAATCATCAGTGACGTCATTAGGTACCTATTTACATTAAAAAAACAGAAAAACAAAAAACCTAGATGTGAAAACCACATATCATGTGCCAAGTTTGTAAAAATGTTTATAGGCACACACACAAAAGATTTGAAGCATACCAAAATATCAGTAGAAATTATCTCTGGTAATTGTACTTCAGCTCATTTTTACTTTTTATACTGTTCTATATTTTCTATGTCTTCTACAATGATCATGTACTACTGTTAAAACTAGAAGAAAAAAATACAGACAAGTGGCAATTGAGGCAGTGCCAACCAATTTAGGATTACACTGGATTGATACACTATCCCTTATACCATCATAATCTCCTATTAAAAAGCACTGAGGGCCCTTGAAGACGTGGGCTGTGCCTTATCTATAATACATGCTCGATTATATTCACATATACAGTACACTATACAGTATTATATTCACATATACAGTACACTAACGCGTGGTGGAGCATGCCGCAAAACACTAGAAAACTAAAAATGGCTTATTTAGAAAAAGACAGCGGTTTAGCGCCCTCGCAAAACAAAAGAGCAGAGCCAAGAGTGGGTGCTCAAGGAATAAAGTGAGGAAGAGCCACAGGTGGGAAAGTCTCGCTCCAAAATTTTTAGATACGCATCCATCACTAAATTGTTCTCTTTAAAACGGTTCACTTTGTCAATTTCACTTCATTTAAAAAGTAAACCCAGGGGGCTTCCCTGGTGGCGCAGTGGTTGAGAGTCCGCCTGCTGAGGCAGGGAACACGGGTTCGTGCCCCGGTGCAGGAGGATCCCACATGCCGCGGAGCGGGTGGGCCGGTGATCCATGGCCGATGGGCCTGCGCGTCCGGAGCACAACGGGAGAGGCCACAACAGTGAGAGGCCCGCGTACCACAAAAGTAAACCCAGAAGTCACTTTGTAAACATATCAGATTGCATCAGCACTGCTTGAAGCATGGCTTTGCCCCAACCAATTTTTCTTTTTTTTTTTTAATTTTGCTTTTTCAATTCTAGAGCATCATATAAGTACGGTTCCTCAAGCTGCTGCGGTGCTGGGGCGTGGAGTGGATGGAAGGATACCAAAAACACGCAATGTACCTTCCTGCCCTCAAAGAGCTTCCAGCAAAAGGTGGAGAGAGAAACAAAGGAGCGGGTCTGAAGCAGAGGCCTCAGAGCGTCACGAGTGATTTTGTTTTTAATGAACGTTAAGTGCTTTTGAGTTTAAAGAACTTTTGGGGACGATTAGCCAGGCAAGATTTGAACGAGCTTCGGCGCAGATGGCACAGGGCCGCGCTGGGCGGGACTCCTCACACGCCAAACCTCGATTGCAGACCCCAAACCAGCCCGCTTTGTGCTTAGACCTACACAAACATAGATTGAAAATGGATCGAAACCCAACCAATCCGCCAAGCAAGGCTAAGCACGTACGCACGCACTATTCCAAAGCGCTGCGTACACTTTACTTAGTGGAGGACCTAATACGTGGTCACGGGCTAAAGTGCTTAAGGAAAGCTGACCCTCGGCTGGCAACCGTGCACCACCAACCCGCTCCCCAAAGGCCTCGGGCTCGCGCCTCTGCACTCGACCCAGAGCGCAAGTGGACCTCGGCCTGCGCCCTGCCCACGGAGGACACCATGCACCACGACTGACCCAAACGGGCCACCCCCACGCCCTCCGAGCGGGGCCTCGCCGGGTCCCGGGACGCCAACTTGTGCGTAAGGGACAGGGAACCAGCAATCAATGGCAGAACGGTGGCGCGGCCTCCCAAAACAAAGCAGGGCGCCTAGTCCACGGAGCCCGCCGTCCCCGAACTCCGGGCCCAGCCGCCGCCCCCGCGCCCGCCGGCCAACACGGCCCGCCGCACCCCGAGCGCCCGCCCAACAGCCGCCGCAGGAGCGCGCAGGGCGCCTAACTGCCGTCCCGGCCCAACCAACGCGGGCAGGGGAGGAGAGGTGCGCGCGGCCGGTGGAGCGTGCGAGCCGCTCGGGGGTCGCAGGGGGGAGGCTGCGCGCAGGGAAGGCAGGGCGAAGAGGCGCCGGAGCCATGGCTGAACGCAGCACCTGGAGGGACTCCTTTAGGGATTTTGCCCCTTTCCCCTTGGAAGGTGCAGATGGTTTGACCCCCCACCCCGAGTGAGGTGCCTCGTCCCAGCCCCGACTGGACTGTACCATCGGGCGGTGCCGCCGGGATTTCTCCCCCACCACCACCATCAAGTCCTCCCCCCCACCCGGGTCCGCGGTCGGTTGGCCCCGGCCGGGCTCTGAGACGCGGAAAGAGCTTGGCGCCATTTTGGGTGGGACTAAGCAAAGACGAAACACCCTCCCAGTCGATGGGGTACTCTGGACGCTGGCTTATCCGGTTACCTTAATCCTTTAGGTACTTACACGATGTTGGGTGAGGGGAGCTGGAAGATCAGCGGGTCCCCGATCCTCTCTCCCTAGGGGTGATGGAAATCAAACCCCCCCCGCCACCTCCAGGTGGTTCTTCCCGCCGCAGAGTGGGAGCTGCATAAAAGGCGGGGCCTCATTAGCATAACCTGCCTGGCAACCTGATCTCGGCGTTATGTGATTGGTTGAACTCTGTAAACTCCATGCCTCGCCTAAAGAGGAGTAACGCTGGGGCGAACTGACAGGCCCAGATTTAAGACTCATGACGAAGATCCTGAGACGCTTATTCAGTCAGCGGAGAAGCTAAAAGGAGATTTACACAGTGGCCCAATGACGGAAGGCCTCTTTATTTCGTGCTCTGCTGTTCGTTTCAAGTCCAATCAAAAAGCGGGTCTCAGGCACCGCTCGCCTGCGTTTGTGCTCTAAGCCAATCAGAGAAGCCGACTCTTCGGTTTCAGGGTCAAGACCGCTTGGAGGGACCGGCGGCAGCGGCCCAGGTCGTGAGCCTTCCGGCTTCGGTGCCCGAGGTCGGGAGGAGGAGCTGCTCGTCGGGTGCTGCGCGCCCCCCGAGGGCCCGCGTCCTGAGAGCTGCTCCCCAGGACGCGGCGGGCCGAGGGCGCGCGGGATTGGAGGCGGCTCGGGCCCCGGCAGCGGGCCGGCTTGCGGAGCGCCCAGCCGAACCCACGCCACGCGCGGAAGCCCTGCGCCTCGGAGCCGGCCCCGGCGTCTGACCTCAGCCCGGCAGAAGCCTGGAGTGCGGCGTTGCGTCTCTCCTCTCCCCTTTACCATGCTGAAAGGAAGTGATTTTCACAGACGTGAAGATGTTTTTCAACCCTGGTTAACCAAGGGCTTAACTCACTCTTTTCTTAACCTCAGCCTTCCACATCGTACCATCCCTTAAAATTGCCTTCGCAAAGCAGCCCAGTACAGAGAGGTGAGCTCGGGCTTTGCAGCAAGATGCCACCTGTAGTTCCCCGCCCTAATATGAATGGCAACTAGATCTTGAAGAGACCTTGAGCCTTTGGACCTTCAGGGAGCCGTAATCCTGTCCATGACATCTAACTTGCTACGTTATTTTGAAGATAAAGTGGGATTTACGTGTAAAATACTTAGCACACTAGATCTTAAACGGATAAAAGTATCAATGACGATAAAATATACAAAATTGCTGAGCTATTGGCTAACCAAGAAAGTACCACTAAGCAAAAGACCTAAGAATAGAAAACACGGGGCGGTGGGCGAGCGGAGGATGTAAAATTCATTCAACAATATCCTATTTACTGTTTATTTTTAAAACTGGAAACAAAATCTGGGAAATTTTGGGAAAACATTGTTTTTAGAATTTCAGGACTGTTGAGTACCTTATAAGCAACTTGATGACTAACCCATGTCTTGTTCCTCCACAGACTCCTGTGCAGGCTGTCAGTAAACACTTGCTGAATTTAATTGAAAAGAAAGCACATTTGGGGTCTGATGAGGCAGACCTTAACATTTATAGTGAGAGATGCTTTTAACTCTTAGCTGGATATAAAGACACATGAAAGTCAGTTGCCTTAGGAAAGATGATATTGGTTAAGAGAGTCACTGGAATGTTCTCTTTTGGTGCTGTGAGTAGACAAACAATGCCAGAAGTGGACAGGTCCACGGCCCCTAGAGAGAATTTCTCCCGTTTTGAGATTTAACATTATTACATCCTCTCTGAAGGATTGGGATCATCACAACTGAAGTCTGACCAGAAATGACTGCAAGGAACACAAAAGGGGAAATTGTCATGAGGAATGGGGCTGTCTGGACTGGAGGGCCCAAGTTGGCCTCACGGACTTGGAGAAATTGTCTAAAACTTTACTGGCCACGCAGCTATGCAGGATCTTAGTTCCCCCACCAGGGACTGAACCCGTGTGTCCCCTGCAGTGGAAGGGCTGAAAGCGCAGAGTCCTAACCACTGGACCGCCAGGGAATTCCCTAGACCTAAAACTTTAGAGTGCACAAATATTACAGGTAGACACCACCTCAGAGATTTTGTTATTCAGAAGGTTTGGAATGAGCCTCAGTAATCTGCCTTTTATATAAATGTTTCAGTTAATTATTAAATTTGCACACAGTAGAATTCTCTCCCTTCAGTATACAAGTACTGAATATGTACTGTCTACCAGTCACTGTTCTAAACAATGAGGATGGAATGGGGAACCAAAACAAAAAAAAGCCCCTGCTCTCATGGAGCTTAAGTTCTAGTGGAGGCAACAGAAGAAAATTGATAAATAAATGAGATGATTTCAGGTAATGATAAGTGCTATGAAGAAAATAAAGCAGAAAATTGCAAAGGGGAGGAGAATGCTGGCAATTTAAATAAAGGTGTCAAAGAAATCCTTTCTGAGATGCTAACATTTGAGCTGAGACTTGATTGATGAAAAAAGCCCACGGTGCTAAGATCTTGGAGAACATTCCAGTCTGAGACCAGCAGATGTGAAGGCATGAGGGGAGAAAAAAAAAAAGCATGCACCTATTCATTCATTCTTCCATAGAATAAATATTCATTGAATGCTTATGATACGCCAGGCACTGTCCTAGGTGCTTTGAGATTGGTCAATTAACATTATAGACAAAAGGAAAAACACAACACATAAAAATCCCTGCCTTTATGGAGAGCTTTCACTCTAACACACTGAAAAACCTAAGAAAGCCTGAGTTGCTAGGACACAGGGCAAGAAATACAGTGGTTCAAGAAAACTTGGGGAAACAGGCAAGGGTCAGATCATATATTGCTTTGAGGGCTAGAGTATGGGAGTTGTTATTGTATTTTAAGTACAACTTAAAGTAGAGGTTTTAAGCAAAGGTATGATACAGTGTTTTGTTTTGTTTTTAAAGATAACTCAGGCTGCCCTAGGAAGCTTATCATGTTGGCTGAGGGGATGAGAAACGGGAGACAAGGAGGATAGTAAGGGTCCACTGCAATATGGTCTAAGCAAGAAATGATGGTGATCTTGACTAAAACAGGAGAAGTGTAAATGGGGGAAATGTATGGATACCAAATATATTTTTGAGGTAAACCAAAGAACTTGCAAATGAATAAGAGAATGGGTGAGAGTTGGCATTTCTAGTGATGACAAGAGAGTGATCAAGACCGATGCATAAAGTTGAGACTCAAGTGACCTAGTAAATGTGGCTGGCTTAACTGAGGAGAGACCTGGTTAGAAAATTAAGAGTTCTATTATAGTCATGTCAATTTTGAAATATCTTTTAGAAATACACTTGGACATACTGCAGAAGCAGTTGGAATTCAAGGAGAGATCTGGGCTGCAATACAATTTTAGAATTCATCAGATTATACATTGTATTTCTTCTTTTTCTTTTTATTGGAGCATAGTTGATTTACAATGTTGTGTTAGTTTCAGGTGTACAGCAAAGTGACTCAGTTATACATATACATATATCCACTCTTTTAGATTCGATTCCCATATATGTCATTACAGAGTATTGAGTAGAGTTCCCTGTGCTGTATAGTAGGTTCCTATTAGTTATCTATTTTATATATAGTAGTGTATATATAAATCCCCCAATCTCCCAATGTATCCCTCCCCACTATAAACTATATTTCTTTTTTTTTTAATTAATTTTTTTTTGACTGTGTTGGGTCTTCGTTGCTGTGCATGGGTTTTCTCTATTTGCAGCGAGCGGGGGCTACTCTTTGTTGCGGTGCGTGGGCTTCTTATTGCAGTGGCTTCTCTTTGTTGCAGAGCACAGGCTCTAGGCACGCAGCTGCAGTAGTTGTGGCACATGGGTTCAGTAGTTGTGGCTCGTGGGCTCTAGAGTGCAGCCTCAGTAGTTGTGACGCACGGGCTTAGTTGCTCCGTGGCATGTAGGATCTTCCCGGACCAGGGCTCGAACTTGTGTCCCCTGCATTGGCAGGCAGATTCTTAACCACTGCACCACAAGGGAAGTCCCTGAATTGTATTTCAATACATAGGATTACATGAAGTCTAATTAGATGAGGTCATCTAATGAGGATGAGATGAAGGAGAGAGTGTTTATAGAGAAGACAAGAGGGTCCAGGATTAAGCTCTTGGGAGCTGCTGAGTTTAGAGATGAGAGACAGGAGAGGAACCAACCAAAGAGACCATGAAGGCCGGTAAAACAGGAGAACAGAGGAGGGTGGTGTCTGAGAAGCCCAGGGAAGAGAGTGCTTGAAGGAGGCTGCAGTCATCAGCTGTAGCTAATGATGCTGAGAGGTAAAGAAAGATAAAGACAGATAACGTGTGGGCCTGGAAAGATGGAGGGGGAAGTACCTGGTTATTTGTCAATAGCAGCTTCAGGGGAGGGTTAGGAAACTTAAGAATTGTCTGAAGAAAAAGTGGGAGGTGAAGAGTGATATCTGTTGCCAATAGTATAGCAGATAAGATAGGCCAATAAAAACAACTAAAATGTACATGCTTTCCATAAAACACTTTTTTTTTTAATGCATCACAGAGCTGGCAACAGAGTGAGGACTCTACAAAGGTTAAAACCAAAGTCCGTGAGTAAAAAGGGAAAAGCTCATCATTACAGAAGAAAACAAACTAAAAAGAGAAAAAGGAATGCTGGGAAAAGAAGAGAGATCATTTGGCAGGAACCGTAACAACTATTAAATTTTTTCAAGCAAGAATGATCAATGAAGGATAAACCTTAATGGATGAAAATTTGATGGTTTGATATCAACATGGTCTTGAAATAGCTCTACAAAAGATACTTATTAACTACAATGGAAAAAATAATAACTTTACAGTGGAGAAAGTTGGCAGATACCATCATTGTGATCAAAGTTACTGTACTCAGGGATAGGACCCCGAGACCGAGTGCCTCTGCATGTGATGCCCTGGGAAGGACACGACTTCTGCAATATGGCTACCAGAAGCTCTTAACTCTATGGGCAAACCCAAACTGAGGGATATTCTACAAAATAACTGGCCTATACTCACCTTTAAAATGTTAATGCCATGGGCTTTCCTGGTGCCATATCTGGCAGCTGTGACTGTGACCTTATTTAGAAATAGGGCCTTTGCAGATATGATGAGTTAAGATGAGGTCACACTAGATGGATATGTTGGGCCCTAACCCAATGACTGGTATCCTTAAAAGAA